AAACCCGCTGCTCTAACCCAAAATCTAGCACGCCCATCCTCTCCGCAATGCCTCTACACCCCCGGATAGCATCTTGGATTGTCCAAATCGGTCAAGAAACGACCAAGATACAGCAATTTTTGCATCGCCGTTACCCCTCATCACCCTTTTTGACTCCTCTGCGCACCTTCGATCTTCTTTTTTTTTTTTTTTTTTTCTACCTATTTCTCCCTCTTTCTCTCTGCCCGTAGTGCTTACACAACCCGCTGCCCACCGCAGATGAAGTGTGTGCTCAGCAGGGGAGCACAGCTCTCAAGGACGATGACGAAGGACAGCAACTTGATGGAGATGGAGGTCTGCTACGTCGAAGGAGAACCACCGAACGTGCAGCAGGTATCAGCTGACAAAAACCCAGAAAGTGCATCAGTATGAGGACGGCGCTTGGCACCCCGTGGGTGAAGAGCCAGGAGCTGTTACTAGCGGGGCTGTCCAGCCACCGCTATGGCAGTCATCAGCGTTGGAGACGATGCTCTGCCCACAAAAATAGCGCAGCGTAACACGACCTCCACCCAACAACTAGAAAAAAAGTAAACTAGTCGAACTCCAACTCCATCTGCCTCCGGCCTTTTCTACTCAACCTTCCCAGCCTGTAACATAGCAACCTCTCACATGCCTATCTGACCGTCCAAGTAAATAGCATCCAGGGTCAAGCCATCAGGATCTTTTCTCCATGCACCTAGATGGAAACCTGGCCCACGGGGGCTAACAGCTAGAACACACATCAACAAAAGGCTACGGGTCCACCCGTTTCCAAGAGAACAGAAAAACAGGCAAAAATGGTGAGGCTGAACGTCCTAGCACTGCCCCATAAAGGCTACTAGCCACAGGTCTACGGATCAAACTCAGTGGTCCAAAACTGACAAGCTAAACATATAAATTTTCAGGGCACAGGATCAGGTCCCGCAATGCCCAGACCAAAGAAACCGTAAAATCAGTTGGTACAGTCCCACATCTGTGTGTGATACCCCTGCGCAGGGGCCATGCTAATCTTTGTTCTAATTTTAACGGATGTCCCGAAGGACCATTGCAGGGCCGCTGCCCAAAAATATTGCTACCTGTTGACCAGTCTTAGGTAATTCAAGCGTAGTATTTTTTTTTTGTTCACCTGCTTTTAGCGGTGTTCAAACTCAGGTCTGTATTTCAACAGTTCCGAGGTGTACCAACCGTGCTAGGCCAGTCGGTCTC